GACGCATTCTTTTTAGAATATAAATGTTTATTTTCCTTGCTTTGCACGTGACGCTGTCATTTCGTCCATGACCTACACTGGTGTGCAAAAATTAAGGACGAAGTCGAAAAATTAGCATATCAGCTGAACGAAGAGCAGAGCGGACAGAAAGACCAATCAGGAGATTAAGTAAGGTGATGTACGGTAACACATGCGCAGATATGCAGGTAGACGTAATGGGGGAGTGTCTGAGTAGTATAAAGCATGTTGTCGGTGTAAGATCAGTATTTCTGGCAAAGAGATTGCACGCCGTATAGCAGTTAAAATCACACCGAGTTGCTGCCTCAGCGAGAAATGGCGAATAATCAATCTGTTAGACGACATCTGGATGCTTTTACCCGAGGTCGAATCATTGGGAAGTTCGAGGAAGGCCGCAGTGTGACATGTGTGGCTGCAGAGTTCGGAATTGCTCACAGCTCACAACTTTGGAGACAATTTCAAACTACAGGAACAGCTATCCGGGGGTTTAGTAGTGGTCGTCCACGAGGAACACACCCGCAGATGACCGGTATATTGCCTTACAGGCCAGAAGAAACAGGCGGCAGACAGCGGGAGAAATCGCTAGACACACGACACAGGCGACTGGACGACCGATATCGAGTTTTACCGTGGCCAGAAGACTGCACGGTGGTGGTCTGTTTGCCCGACGCTTTGTACGGTGTGTACCTCTAACGCCTGGCCATCGGAGAAGGCGTTCTCTGTGGTGCCGGGAACACCGGAATTGGAGAGACAATGAATGGGGACGAGTACTCTTTACAGATGAGAGCAGATTCAGTCTGAGTAGCGATTCTCATCGCATACACATCTGGAGAGAGCGAGGAAGCCGCAATCATCCCTCGAACATCATTGAAAAGGACAGGTATGGAGGTGGCGGTGTTCTCGTTTGGGGAGGCATCATGCTTGGTAGTCGTACAGACCTTCACATCTTCGACGCAGGTTCAGTCAACGGGACCCGTTATTGTAACGAGATTCTTCTTCCATATGTGCGTCTTTTTAGAGGCGCTATGGGTCCGCAGTTGTTTTTCATGGGCGACAATGCACCATGTAATCGCACAGTAGCTGCCGAACAGCTCTTAGACAGTGAGGATATTGAACGTATGGATTGGCCGGCAAGATCTCCGGATCTCAATCCCATCGAGCATGTATGGGATTTTCTAGGCAGACGCTTGGCAGCTCGTACCTTAACACCAGTAACGATTCCGGAGCTTCGATTGGCGCTGCAAGACGAATGGGCAGCAGTGCCTCAACAACTCATTGACACCCTCATTCTCAGCATGGGCAGACGCTGTGAAACCTGCCTAGCAGTCAGGGGAGATCATATCCCCTATTAAAGACCGGATGTTTCTTGCTGGACACCCATCACAGGGATGTTTCGGCTTTCAGTCGCATTGCACTCCATGCTACTTTTTCAATAAAGCTTCTTTTTATCCCTCTGATTTCTCTTTTAGTAAGTATTGCTTACATTACTCATGTCTTTACGTATTGGAGATCTTACGGTATTAAATGTGTTGATTTGGAAAGCTTTTGTACAAAGTTATATTGAAAAAACCGTCTCGTCCTTAATTTTTGCACACCAGTGTATTTAAAACTTTCACATCGTTTTATGGCTTAAAATAAGAAATTAAAGTTAATGACCTAAACTGCAATAATATATTACAGTACACGTGAAAAAGTTGACAGTTTACTCACGCGTGTGTCGGATTTGCGCAATACTTATGGAATCCCACAAATTTTGCGTAAATATTATAGGATCCTGAGGGTCGCGACAGAATCTCAGTGATAAAAAGGGGTAGCAAATGAAAAAGGTTTAAGAAACCCTGCTCTAGACAATGACCTGTTATTTATTTCTGTACTACGGCTTCATTCATTTGGCTGGTGATGGAAATGGAGCTTTTCAGTTCACCGTTTCAGCTAAGATATCTTCTCCAATAATTGTAAAATGGTATTTGCCAAGGCGCTCGAATTCTTAACTTCAGTTACATGAAACTCATATACTTCACTTTGTGAATGCATGTCAAAAATCTTATCAGCCATAATAGCCAATTTATCAATACCTTCATCACTAACCAAACCACAATACAATAACCACCAATCACTGTTTAATATGATGCGGCAATTTTTCAGTCCATAATGTTTTTATTACCATGTTAGAAATATCACTGATTGCCAAGGATTTCATTTTTTGTAATAGATAACTGAGGTTTCAATGGAATTTAAAAATTGCAATCCCTCTTTTCCAAGTAGAGTAAAATGTTTTATGAAATCATGTAGCCCGTTTATTGTTATTAAAATATACAGAATTGATTTCGTTCATACTGAAATGTTTTCAACATTTTTTTCAGATATATATAGAATATATAAGTTTTGTTTTGATGGCAGACCTATAGTTATCTATTACTTTAAGACATTTATCTTTTTAAAACATTATTATTCTAATAACATTTTTCTGTTGCCATTTACAGTTTAGGTAAAGTTGTAGAAACAAAGATAATATATGGTTCAGAGCTTACACATTATCAGAATTCTTCTAGACTTGCGAGTATGAGCTATTTTGCAATTACAATCTGCATTAAAATGATGCACTTCATTACACAAAATATTTCAGTCAGAACACTTGTTATCTTGTCCAATATAAGTTTTACATTTTTACTGTATATTTCAATTAATTTTTTCTTTTGCAATGAATGCAGAAGAGACAGTAAACAGCAAGATAATTTTTTGAAATGAAATATTCAAATAATATAATTTCAGTTATTTTTCTAAACATTTTCCTGAATTTTGAATTTTAGCTTTAAATAAAATTATCCCCACCCCCCAAAAGAAAATGGGCAAATTTCATGTTATTGAAGTGTTTGATTCTATTTAACACAGAAAAGTAACTCTTCCTGGACACACACAGCTGTTGTTCAGCAAAATGATTTTTAACCCGTAACAGGGAAGGTGAAAAATTTGAACACAGCAGGGAACGTGCGGTCTCAGAGACCGCGCATTATAATAAATATTTTTAAATCGTCTAATTAAAATATCATCATGATAGTTCACTTAGATGTTCTTTGAACATTTTACTCTGAAAAGAAAATATGTTTTTACACTTTAAAGTTAAATTAAAGTTTTCTCAGACAATTTCCACATAGCCTCAAATTTTTTGATGAAAATCATATGCTGCACTAAATTCTATAAAACTAAAAATAAGAATGCATCTATTTTGAATTAACTATTTTATCTATATTAGTTAATATTCAAAGCAAATTTTAACCGCAGAAAATTGTATGTAGCACAATACAGAAAAATTTTGACAGTACCTAAAATATCAGTATCTCACTGATTTTCTGATAGTAAACAATTTAGTTTTCGTCTTCTTTAGCATATTCATTGCATAACTTTTGCGTGCATTCCAAACAAACAGGGTCTTGGCAAGATAAACATAAATATACTGGTCTTTCTTTTCCTGCTTGGGGGGCACAGACGACATGTTTTCCTTGATTTTAATTTTGCTTCTTTCTGTGCACTGCTTCACATCCTTAGACTCAGCTTCTTTTGTGCACTGCTTCACATCCTTAGACTCAGCTTCTTTTCCTAAAATCCGCTTTATCGTCAGGCGCAATTCTCGATTTATTCTTGGATTTTTTCCTCTCATGTGTAGTAGTGGTTGGACTAATTCTCTCGCTAATTCTTTCGAAAACACTATTCTGGTCATAACAGGGTTTTGGTTATAACCTTGGTGCAAAATGTATGCATTTACTGTACTCATATCTACTAACCAGTAGAAAAGAGCCATAGGCCAATGCGTTGTTCTCCTACTACAGGAATGGACAGAACATTTTTCATCTAAAGCATCAACACCACCTTTGGTTCTGTTATAAAAACCAATTATTTCAGGTTTCTGTGTTTCCGAGTCTGTTTCTATCGAATGATGCAATGATGACATCAAAACCGCTGCTCGCCTTTTTTCGCAGAAATTTTCTTCACAGTCATCTTCTTCACTAAAATCACTTCCAACTTCGTCTAGAATTTTTTTCATTTCTTCTGCATAACGTGGATCAGAAGGATAAATGAATCTCCGCGGACCTAACTTCAGAGCCATGTGTTCACTACTGCCGAAAATTGTAACACTGAGAGGGAGGTGAGGTCTCACAGACCGCTCTAGAAGAATTTCAACAGATACACTTGCCAAAGCATTCTGATAAAAAGGGGCCAGAAAGAAGGTCACGAAACGTGAAGCTAGGGAAAGAATCCAATCACTTGGACAAAGCATGCAATAGGGGTGATGGGAGGAACATGTGGCACGGTCCGTCAGACCGCACGTTCTCTGTTACGGGTTAAAATAGCACATTAGCAAAATATTATCACTTCACGGCTAACATTATACTTGAAATGGTGTAACAATATTATCTATGCTTCATTTGCCACAGCAGTTATCTCTGTAGTGTCTTCATTTTATTTAACAAGGATAATTTATTACCAAAACATTAATTTACTACTTTTTCTAATTGTTTTAAACACTTGAAATATTCTTCAATTTAATGTTAATATAACCTTTTTATGGAATATTTTTATTGCTTACATTTACAATTATATGTACTGAAAAAGCAACTAGATAAATTTAAAGGGTGCTACACAATTATCTCTCTTCTTTTAACAAAATATATTTATCTGTAAGCTCAGAAAGTCCAGTGATCAATTATAAAATCTACACCATTTTCATATAAAATAAATTAGAAAGGAAAAGCTTATTTTCAGTGAAGTGTCCTTCTAAAGATTAAAATATTGCTTTTCATCCTTTAATTTAATCCACAACAATGTCTTTGAAGTTTTTCAAACTTTAAAATTTTTTCTTTCTTCTTTTTTAACACTAGAAGATATTTCAAAAATACTGTACATGAAAATACTTCTTGAACAACTAATCACAGTGCCATGACTCAGATTTAATAAATAAATAAGACAGACTTTCAGCCTAGGATAAATTTGGTCATGTCATGACTTTTAATAACATAATAAAATTTTAAATTTTACATGGACTCTGCATTCATGCAAAAATGCATCTTGATAAAAATATTTTATATACCTTAGCAGTCTCCTGAAAAAGTTTTACACTATTAAAATTTTCTGAGATATTGTCAATTAAATTTTGAGGGATTCTATACAAGTGTCCCTGTTTTTTTCCTTAGACTGGAATGATGGATTTGTGAGTACAATCACAGTCACTACAAACAACAACATACTGAGTTATTTACCTTTATCCTTTAGACCAAAGACTGCCAAAATTTGTCATATTCTTTAACTATCATAAAAGCACTTGATAAGATGGGATTTTAATGTTAAATGAGGAAATCTGAAAGCATATCTACATCAAACATGGATCTAAACAATGGTAGTGACAGTAGCATTAAATATATAGCATAAAAACTCGGGAACAGAAAATAATATTAATAGCCACAAGGCACACTAGTGCAATAAATTCTTTTACCAAATCACAGCAACAAATATTCTGACTTTGAAGGTGCTTCTTACCCTTGTCCCCACCCCTCAGCACCATATGATCATACAGCATATTGACTGGAAGTGCTAAAAAGTAAAACTTTCCGAATTCTGGTGTATCCAGAACACAACATATCGACGGACTGATACAATACCTATGATATCATTATAGAAGACCAGGAGATTCATAGCACTATGTGGTGATGTTTGATTGCATTCACAAGACTTTTTGCACTGATTCATAGCTGCAGAACATGAAACATGGATCCACTATTACGCATCTATGTCAAAGCAGTGGACAGCAAGCAATGAAAGTATGTCAAAAGAAATGGAATGTGTTAGCTGGAATCATCAGATTGGATTGAAGAAAAGAAAAATAATAACAGAAAGCAACCGTGAAACATTATTCGACCATCTGATAGAAGAACTGAATCAAAAATGAACTGATTTCCAAGTACTGAAATGATGACCAAGAAATCCTATTTCTCTAAATTTGAGCCCAAGCAACGTCTTATCCATAAACCTGAAAATTTAGCTTATTGAAGAAATGCTTGTTAAATAATATGTCATCACAGCTTCGAATATATATTTTGCAGTCTCTAAAAAAAACAACTTTTTCAACAATGTAAAAATACTGCATACGTAATAGATTCCACATATAGCATTAAAAAAAGACAATGTTAGAAAATAAAATCAGTTCTTTTTTTTTTTTTTTTTTTTTTTATATTGTTTCACCTATTTTTACACCATACTTATCAAATGGCTCTCATAAAAATCAAAACAGCTAAAAGGAATTTGAGAAGAAGAAAAAAGATACTAAAAGTACATAAATAGATTTAAAATAATAAATAAATGAAACTGAAAAATATTAATGCTACTAGATGAAAAAAAATCATTATTTTTAGTGCAATGGGAAATGATGATGGTACACTCTATGCACACTCTATTATTTTGTAATTATATCATTAATGATGTACATTCTATCAATTCATAAACAAATGTTCAGTTATTCAGTGCAGTTACTTACGAAACACAAGCTTAGAAATATGAACCCAGGGGAAAACTGAATTAATTTAAGATAAAATTAAATCCAGGTTCAAGTTTGGCTCTATTTTCATTTAAAAAAAATCTGCAGCATGAAGAACAGCTACAATACAAATCACAGATAACTTTATTTTAAAATTGAATAAATATTTCCACATTTATATCTGCACCTGCTTATTCATAAAAACTATGAAAGACATATATAATCTAGATCATAAATTAGCTTCCAGGATGATATTATGTTTTTTAATTTCAGGGTGACACAAAAACTAGGAATAAATTACACAAAAATAATACTCTATCATGCAAAAGATGGAAGGGTTTACACTTCTTATATTTACATAGAACATATGTTCATCATAAATGCCATAAACTGTGTTTTGAGTATGTCATGATTCTAGATGTTGATTAGTTTTTATGCACTTCCATACGAAACTAACGTAACAAAGATACTCTACAGAATAGTTGAATCCTTCACTCTATAGAACATCAGTATCATAACAATCATTTATTCTTCATGAACATGAAGAATCCTCTTTTTTCTCAGATTCACTTTTTCCATATTGATTCAGATATTTTTGAAGTTCTCCTTCTAAAGATGCTTTCTGGAAATAAATAAAGTAATATTTAAAAATTAGCAAAGGAGTATATTTATATTATATAAATAATAATAATAATAAACTTTAGAAATATAATTATTACAAAGGAAATAATACTGGTAACTCTAAAAATTGAGTACTGTAACTTCAAATATTAAAGTACTTGTAGTTAAACCCTGATTAACGGAGATAATACTGGGGGTAATGTATGCTCAAAATCACAGTTAAATTGAGGGCACCCCCCCAAAAAAAAGGAACAAAAAAAATTATAACCTGCATTATAATTAATAGAAAATAATATTAAAAACTGCCTGTATTTTCATGCAATTTAATCCATAAAATTAGTTCATATGGTTATGTAAATTAAAAAAGTACTTAAAACACACAGAACTACTGTAAATAATGGAAGAATACATCAACATTAGAAAACAAAAAACAGAGTTACAAATAACTATCATATGATCTGCTACACATTTTTTAGTTTCTGTATTTTCTGTAGATAGTTTAGTTTTATGTTGATGGTTTGTGATGATGGTATTTTTTCCATTACCGTACAACAAACAAACTTTCATTAGATACAACCAGGTTAATCCACCCCAAGTTAACTTGGAATTGACTTTAGTTCCACACTTATGATTATTATTTCCTTTACATAAGCACTCACACCTTTGATCTAACTTTTATGAATCCTTCATTGCTGAGGATGTATAGCTGAGGCGGCCTATGCTTATATATACTATAAATATCAGCATATATTCTCAATGCATATTTAATTTATTAATTAGAAGACACCACCAGAGTCGTAGCTAGGGTTTTCAGCACCCAGGGACAACTGAAGATTTCGCGTCCCCTACTGCTTGCCAAGGATGGAAAACATTTAATTCTAAAATGTCGTAACATCAGTTTGGCTCCCCTTGGATTCTGCGCCCGGGGACAGATGCCCTCCCTTGCTCCCTCTAGCTACACCCCTGGACACCACACAGCTAAACAGATTTAAAATTAGAAGCAGAGTTAGAGACTTTAAAATTATAACTAATTTAATTATTATAAAACAATATTGCATAACTAAATTTCTGTCATGTGAAATTATAATTAACAGAATATAGCATTTTATTAAAAAGATTATTTAATATAACATTTTATTTAAAAGAGTATGATAATGCTTTAGATGAAATTTAATTTGTCATTAGATTATGTAATCATTATAATACTATCAAGTGATTATACAAATAAAAAAAGGGGGGAGAAAAAGGCCTATAAATGCAATTTTACTAAACAAAGTGCAAAACAATATATTGATTATATGCAGAAATAACATTTTTCTAATCATTGAACACATTACTCTAATTTTAATTATAACTATTAATTAGTATTTGAACAAATTAGCATAAATATATTCATAAGTAGCAAATAACAAGCAGGAAAATTTGGCGTTTAAAAGCAGATTTAAGCACAAATTAGAAAATGAGATACAGTCTTTGCAACTATCTGATTTACACATGTAAGGAATGATGCTCAGTTTTTTAAATTAAAATTCCTTTACTTTTGCCATTGTCTTTTCTTGCACACTGAGAGGAGCATTTTTCCGATAACCACGGTCGGACAACATTTTGTTCAACTTGTTCAACTCTGATCGAATGCTATCTAATTTGTTGGCTTCATTCTCTTGAATATTAACCCTTTCCTGCAAATTTGACACATAAACAACATTACAATATAATATTAATTCATTACTTATCATAATAATATAATAAATAATTCATTATATTATAATGTTCATAAAATTTCTTTTTAATAATTAGTACCACATGTACATAGAAATTATTAAAAATATAAAAAATATTTTAACAAAATGAAAATAAAGTAACGATCAAGAATCCTACAGTATTTACAAGTCTGAAGTACAGTGAAACCTCCCTAAGATAAAGTCTGTAGTTCCATATGATTTTAGCCTTTTGCCTTAGAAATGATGTTCAATATTGATGTTTATTTATATTCTGAAAAATACTATTCTCTGTTAAGGCAGATGTCATAAGAGATTTTATAATACATCAGAGGAAGAAAAATCTAAGCAAAACGAAGCTAAAACAAAGTTTGCCTTAAGCTTGTTTTTAGAACAGATTTTTCCAAAATTATTAAAAAATATCTGAATTTGATTACTTTTGACCAATTAAATTCACGGTATTTTGAAATTAAAGTGCAACAACTTGCATTAATCTATGCCTAATCAATGACTTTATTCCAATGGATTCCAGCCCACTGTGAAATTATGATCAACGAAAAAGCCGATACATTAGCTAAGAAAGAAACTTTGATAATGCAACACAGTTATCAACCATTTTATTTTTATATGACTAAACTGTTTGTTAACCTGACTCTTACAAATTCTTAAACAGGGTATGATTCAACATTTTATATATAAGAGATGGAGGATTCTGAAAAAAGAGAGAACTTTCATTCCCAGTTTACCAAGAAAAACAGCTGTAGGTCTATTTAGACATCTGAACAAACATGACTGTTTGTGAAACTACTTTTCTAGAATTGCAATGGTGGATTCCCCAAACTGTTTTGTATAACTCCAACTAGCCTATGATTTTTGAACATTTAAATAATTGTACTGCACTTTCCCGATATGAGGACATTGTTAGAAAGTACTGGAGAAGGCATGAAGTGGCTTAAGCACTAATGCTTGGAATTTGTAAAATAAATAAACAAAATCTATGCCTAATCACAGCTTCACAGCAATACATGAGAACTATAAATTATCAAAATTCATTATCATGCCTAAAAATAATACATGAATCTACTATGCCTAAAAATAATACTACTAATCTTTTACTATGCATTTCAAAAATTGGATTTGGATCAGTAACTATCAATGGTTTCAGTAACAGAATTCTTAGCTAATGATTTCTCAAAGGTTACAGTTACTTATATGATTGTGAATTTATATGAATTACATACATTTTATCTTTACCACCTTGTTTACTTAAAATCCATCATTCTGATAGTTACCAGATATTAAGTAAAATAATACTTTTGAATCTGTATTCTTTGATCTTGTGTCTAATAATCTGGAAATTTATACTCTACATGCTTTCATCCAGCGTCTTAGCTCTTAATCACTCTGTACACTAAAAAATGATTGATTATTTTTCTCTAAAAAATTATAATTTCTGACGGCGCATACTACTATAAATTTACCACAACTGCAGCCTGAAAATTTAATGTTACTCTGGACCACATAAAATTCTTATTTCAAATTATTAAAATTTATAAGTGTTTCTAATGTTCAATATAATGTGCTGTTTTGTTAGATTATATTTATCTATTACATGTATAATACGAAAGAATACTGAAGTAAAAGAAAACTGAATAGATTCCAAAGCTTTGGAATCTATTCATAAGTAATTAAATTCAAATATTTTTCAGATACATAGTATCATCATACTCACTCCAATATCCATTATAACAGTAATGCCATGCTCATGCGTCTGAAATACCCATGAATCTTGAGGATGATGCTCAAAAAATTCTTGACCTTGAGTAAGATGAAATGTTACAGATTCTAGTTTGGCAAGTAAAATTATAAGGTTACTAAATGGACTCAGAGCTGAAATAGTGTTTTCTTCTTCCACAGCTATTGTAACTGCAAATGAAACATTTGATTACAAATTATAAAAAACTACATAAGTTGTCTTTTTTTAAGTAAATGTTCAAAATGACAGTTGAAATGAATTTAAAAGAGAGAGAAAAAAGTACCTGCAGGCCGTAGTTTGGTAACACCATGTCGAGCTTTTAATGATCTAGCAATTTCTATCAAATCTGTAACAGTATGTAAATCTGCTTCCAAAACTGTGTTTCTCCAACCAGAATACTATTGGGAGAAAAGAAACATACTATTTTTTCTTTACAGTTACAAACTTAATTAAGACACAATAACACGCTGAATAAATACTAATTCAGAAGTCAAACAACAAAAATCAGCGTTAATTTACAAAATTTTCACAGGACTAGTTTCGATGGTTTTACCGAACCATCATCTTCAGCTGCAAAACCGCAAATGAACAAGATAGGAAATAATGTTTAGATAAGATAAGAAAGCCTGGACAAGAATAAGCAAGTGGCGCCATCTGTTGGCGAAACCAGAACTAAAACATAATTTCTCTAAAAGCCGAAGGCAAATTTGGATTGGAATTAGGATCGTTAACTAGAACAGAAAAGATTTTTATGAATGTGAAATGCCTCTAGAAAATCCAGTTCTCCAATGGAAGATGTTTTTTGAATAATTTTGGCAGCAGAAAAATTGAAAGTGTGTGATTTCGGACCAACAACTGTTGAGCAAACAGAAGACTTCTGTGTTTCCTTTTTTCTAACATATGCCTCATGTTCTTTGACGCGAAATTTTAAGGCTCTCTTAGTTTGGCCAATGTAAATTAAACCGCACTGGCAAGGAATCCTATAAATACCCCAGGAATTCATATCCGGAATGGGGTCCTTGAGTATAGAAGTTGGAATTTTATTGATGGGAGAGTAAACAACCCGAAAGTTAAATTTCTGCAAAATATGTGCAACTTTATAGCTAATTGATGGAAAGAAGGGAATGACCAACAGAATTTTATAATCTCCTAAATAAGAGTGGGAGTGTGGCTTTTAGTGTGTTGAGATGAGAATTTTTTTAACTGCTTGATTAATAATGTTGGGTGAAAAAGCCCCTGTCAATAGCTATTGCTTTTAAATAATTTAGTTCTTCATCAAGGGCTAGTTTGGAGGAGCAAACTTGAAGAGCACGGAAAAACATAGGAATAAAATGAAGCTAACTTTTGTTTAGTCAGATGACATGATTTAAAGTGTGGTGGAAGGCAAACCGATGAAGGTTTACGGTAAACTGTAGTACTGAAGTTGGATGTGTTACGTGTGACCAGAATGTCGAGAAACGGAAGAGAATTGCAAGTCTCAAGTTCAAAAGTGAATTGAATAGCAGGATCAATAGAATTCATTGTTGAAAGAACTCTATTTAAATCATCTTTATAACCTTCAAACAGGGTAAAAGTATCGTCTACGTAGCGGAACCATGCCAGGAAGTTTAAAGTTTCAAATAATTTTGATTCATAATAATGCATGTAGATATCAGCCAAGATGGGACTGAGGGGCTTCCCATGGCTAATCCCTCAGTTTGCTTGTAATATTTATTTTGGAAAACAAAATGTGTTTGTTTCAAACAGAGTTGAGTGAGAGAAATTAGCTCATCAATTTCGATGCAAGAGAAATGAAATTCGCGAAGTCTGGTTTCTAGACATCTTAATGCACCCTCCACTGGGACATTGGTGAATAATGATTTTACATCAAAAGAAACCATGAGTAAATTACGAGGAGAAATGTTTTTAACCTTTTGTTCACTGCCCTTGAACAAAAGTCTTGGTCTAGAACGGAGAATGCAGTTAACCGTCATAAAAACACCCTTGCAGTTAAATTCGAAAAACTTCTTTTACAGTCTTCCAGTCCAAGTAGTTCAAAAAATCTTCCCATTGTAAACATCAAGCCAATAGCTAATATTTCTAATGTTAGTCTTTCAGAAGAACAAGAGAGAATTCTAAAATATAATTTTAACTTCTCACAAACCTGTAAACCCTTGATTCCAAAGATTTTGGCTCCTATCGAAAAAGCTTTCAAGTTCAGTAAAGTTTCAGATTCACAGAAAAGAAATGATTAGGCATCTTATCGCTCATAATGTGAAATTCAATAATAAACCTTTGAAACCAAATCTAACTGCGAGAGAAAGAGCTACAATGCGCGAGATTCATTCTAACCCGGATATTGTCATTTCAAAGGCCGCCAAAGGTGGCCAGATAGTCGTCATGGATAAGAACACTTACATTGATGGTGTCACTAAACTCTTAAACGAAGGACCATATAATCCGATCCCTAAAGATCCTTCACCTTCGGACTTATCCAAAATAAAAACTGCGATCAAATCTTCGCAAATCATTTCAAGCAACTTAAAACATTCGCTTATCCCATCTGTTGCGAATTGTGCCAGATTATATGCTCTTCCCAAAATTCATAAAAGTGGTATTCCTTTCCACCCTATTGTATCAAATTTAGGTACTGCCTCGTATCCATTAGCTAAATATTTAGTTTCTAGATTTTCCACTCTATTAGACAATAACATTTACACCATAAAAAATTCAATAGAGTTTGTAAAAAAAGTTAAAAACATTTCTCCTCGTAATTTACTCATGGTTTCTTTTGATGTAAAATCATTATTCACCAATGTCCCAGTGGAGGGTGCATTAAGATGTCTAGAAACCAGACTTCGCGAATTTCATTTCTCTTGCATCGAAATTGATGAGCTAATTTCTCTCACTCAACTCTGTTTGAAACAAACACATTTTGTTTTCCAAAATAAATATTACAAGCAAACTGAGGGATTAGCCATGGGAAGCCCCCTCAGTCCTATGTTGACATGTTGTCCTATGTTGGCTGATATCTACATGCATTATTATGAATCAAAAATTGTTGAAACTTTAAACTTCCCGGCATGGTTCCGCTACGTAGACGATACTTTTACCTCTGTTTGAAGGTAATAAAGATGATTTAAATAAAGTTCTTTCAACAATGAATTCTATTGATCCTGCTATTCAGCTTCACTTTTGAACTTGAGACTTGCATTTCTCTTCCGTTTCTCGACATTCTGGTCACACGTAACACATCCAACTTCAGTACTACAGTTTACCGTAAACCTTCATCGGTTTGCCTTCCACCACACTTTAAATCATGTCATCCGACTAAACAAAAGTTAGCTTCATTTTATTCCTATGTTTTCCGTGCTCTTCAAGTTTGCTCCTCCAAACTAGCCCTTGATGAAGAACTAAATTATTTAAAAGCAATAGCTATTGACAGGGGCTTTTCACCCAACATTATTAATCAAGCAGTTAAAAAATTCTCATCTCAACACACTAAAAGGCCACACTCTTATTTTAGGAGATTATAAAAATTCTGTTGTCATTCCCTTCTTTCCATCAATTAGCTATAAAGTTGCACATATTTTGCAGAAATTTAACTTTCGGGTTGTTTACTCTCCCATCAATAAAATTCCAACTTCTATACTCAAGGACCCCATTCCGGATATGAATTCCTGGGGTATTTATAGGATTCCTTGCCAGTGCGGTTTAATTTACATTGGCCAAACTAAGAGAGCCTTAAAATTTCGCGTCAAAGAACATGAGGCATATGTTAGAAAAAAGGAAAACACAGAAGTCTTCTGTTGCTCAACATTGTTGGTCCGAAAATCACACTTTCAATTTTTCTGCTGCCAAAATTATTCAAAAAACATCTTCCATTGGAGAACTGGATTTTCTAGAGGCATTTCACATTCATAAAAATCTTTCTGTTCTAGTTAACGATCCTAATTCCAATCCAAATTTGCCTTCGGCTTTTAGAGAAATTATGTTTTAGTTCTGGTTTCGCCAACAGATGGCGCCACTTGCTTATTCTTGTCCAGGCTTTCTTATCTTATCTAAACATTATTTCCTATCTTGTTCATTTGCGGTTTTGCAGCTGAAGATGATGGTTCGGTAAAACCATCGAAACTAGTCCTGTGAAAATTTTGTAAATTAACGCTGATTTTTGTTGTTTGACTTCTGAATTAGTTACAAACTTGTTAAAAAAAAAAAAAAAAAAAAAAAAACTTTCTTTTTTCTTAATTGGGAGGGGGGAACTATCAATTTTAACTCAATAAAATATTTTAGTTACAGATGATAGAAATTTAAGTGTTATATATGATTAAATATCATTTTTCAATAAATTTATATTGATGACTAATTTTCAACTTAGATTAACTCAACATACATATTCCCTCAGAGATATCTGCTGATATCTTGAAATACCATTCAGAAAAGAATTGGACTATTGCACAGTTAAAATCCTATTGTATAAATCTATGTTTCAGCTTAATAAAAAATTATAAACACTTTTGCAATAATATTTTAGACTTAATCAAACACAGAAAAAATGTATACATGTTGCACAGCATGCACAAAAGTGGAAAGGCACTACTAATTAACCAATAAATTAGAAGTAAATGACAAAGAAACTTTTAAACTAAAATTAATGCTTGTAGTTACAAACATGATGTACTTCAATGCTGTACTGCAGCAAAATTAACCAAGTTTCATGCCACCATACAGAAACAACTATTTTGATCTGAAACAACAGCCAAGCAGCAACAAATTTGAGACCAACTGGTTTCAGATGAAATGAATGCCAAATACCATCAATGTAAATTTCAAAAATATGAAATCTTTCCATTAACTTGCTATACTTAATTGTTATTTCTTAACAGAATCATTTTAAACACCCTAATAAGAATATAAGTAACTAGATATTTAATTAAAAGAAAACTAAATTATTTTGAAACTTAAGATCAAAGTATTTTTTAAATGGATCAACTATATCAGCAGATGTGCAAAAACAGTTAAATAACTTGTAGCAGTTGCTATCGTTTTCTCATGGCTGATAAGCTTCTTAAATTTGCCTTTGAATTTTTAGTTCATAATTATTTTTCCTTATTTACATCTGTTTGCATAACATTTTATTTCATTTTGCTTTCAGTACTAATTTAATTTTTCTACCATTATTTTTATACACAGTTTATACTATATATATATATATATATATTCTGAGTTTAAAATAGCTTTAGGTATTTTCATATATTTTAACATTTAGATCTTCTAACTAGTTGTTATTCTTAATATTTTGTTATTATACTAATTTTTCAGTCACAGGCTGACAAGATATTTAGCTAACACATACTTTTATCCAACACAGACACTTAGATAACAAGACATTTAACCGTTAACATGCAGATGATAACACATACATTTAAACTAAAACATGCAACATCAGTAAAATTTTTCCATATTTATCAAACAACTATTTAATATTTCTATCACTTACAAAACTGTACAGATTTTCCACAAGTTTAACTTTCAAATCATTTTCACCTATCGATAAAATTTTTGTTCGATTCTTAAAGATCCCATGCAACCAGAGGGACGAGTGAACTCACAGATGATCACAAATATTTCCACCTGAAGTCTATTCTGTCTTTGCAAAGGAGGAATTTAATCTCTCTAATGCATTAAATAATGTGGAAGCATGGGATCAGTGATGGAAAACTTTAATTGGTCTTTCTCACATAAGAAATTTTATCAATAATTACAAAAATTCAAAAAGAACATTTTCATGTCAAAAGTGAAGCAGAGAAGGCTATTGGAGGAAAACTAGCTTAAAATAAAATAAAAGAGGATGAGCATAGAGAAACAATAATACAAAATATCAATTGTGATAGACAGAAACAACCTGCACTAAATTTTTTGCATGGAATTATGCATAATATTTCCTTAATGTATTTTATTATTTGTATATCAAGCCATGTATTACATTTCTTTTAAACTTATTTTATTAATTATAAACTATTATGATATACAATTTTTTTTATTTTAAAATATGTTCAATGATTTGTATACAATAGCATGTAATTTATATATCATCTGTGCTTTTTCTGCCATTAAATAAACAAAAAATGGGATACTTCTCCATACACCTACTTGTAGTGACACTGAAAATGGCCTCTGATCATGGACATCTTTTTGTTAAAATAGTTTTGTATATGAGAGCAGACCTGTTTTGGGCCACCCATGCTGGTGGCCACACATGTTATTAACCAAATGCATGTATTAGTCGAATGTCCTGTTGGTTAAGTGGTTATTAGTTAAAAAGAGACAAGCCCTATTTTTCTGGAGGTAAAAAGAAGATTTCAGCAGTGAGAAGAGCAAAATAATTTTATATGGAAAGCAAAGGGTGGAACAAAGAGAAATTGAATGTAGCAAGATCTTTTTTGGAAAATAGTATGAAATATGAGAAAACTAAACTACTATTAAAATTTTGAAAATGTTGGAAAGAACTAAATTGGAAAACTAATGTCATTAACTAAAAATGGAAAAAAGTATTCACTTGAAAGGGTTCAAAGAAATCAAGTTTATTAAATGAAGAAGCTCTGCAAATAATTTCTGTAGATACAGCATCAAGATTATGATTAAATATCCAATTGTGATTAGCCATAAAAAAGTTCTTTACTTTTCTTTTTGAACATATGATTCCTTATCCCTGAGAAGAAATTTCAATGCTTTTTCATTTTGGATGACATATGCCAAAACTATATTGACATGATATGCTGAAATTCCCGAAGAATTCAAATCAAAGGCAGAATCTTTAAGAATTAAGCAGGGAGCTAACTTAAGGTGAAAAATCACTTGAAAGATAAACTTGAGGAAAATCTGAGCAATTTTGTAATTGATAGAAAGGTGAAATAGTAGTCGGGTAAATATGAAGAAATTTTACTAAAAATTGTTGCAATCTAAATGCACACATCGTCAGCTACCTGCTGTTGGCTAAATGTCCTTTCACCTAAATGTGTAGGTCGGTTAAATGTCTTGTCCGCTAAATGTCCACATCAAATAAGTGCCCAAAACTAAAAATAAAATATCAGTTTAGTTTAGAAAAATGTTTCTGAAGCTAAGATATTTAAATGATGTGCAATTCTGTGCAAGTTGTCGCATAGTTTTTCTTAAATGGAATCACAAAATCTTACAAAATTTGTCTTCTAGAAAGCACTAGTGTTCTTCAGTAATAGCACATAGCCAACTTGTAATATTATTTGCATTAATTAAAAATAAAAAATATTTGTACTTTAATGAATGTTTTGAATGATTACCAAATTACAAATGTAAAGTAATAAAACTTCATGAGAATATTAATAACTTATTTTTAGATTTTGAAATCTTAGCAAATTACCTGTGTAAAATTTTTTTCAGCATACCAAACATAAAACAATTATCACAAAAGAATATATTTAAAAAGGGGGAGTCAACCTCAAAATATTCTAATTAATTTATTAACCAATCTTTTAATGCTAATTCCTCCCAAAAACAATTCAATACTACTTCAAAAATATATCTTCTGATTATGATTCAAAGCATATCATAAAATAAGAGAAAATGAAATTAATTTACAAATTTCTGTTCACAGGTCAACCAATTCTTCTATCTTAAGGTGAATAAATATTGAGAAAACACTCTATGAGTTATAAATACTTCATTAAAAAGAATAATCACTTGGAAATCTTCTTAGCTTACCTTTTGGGAAAATTTATGGATCTTTTTCAACCCTCATTTAAAAAAGATTCATTTAAAAAATTATCAACCATCATTTTTCCTTAAATGAACAAAATTCAAAAAGCACTTTGCAATTTACTTAGATATTTTAATATCTCAACAAACACCATTTAATGCTGCATCTTCACAACAAAAATTAACTTTAAAGTTCCATGCAACTTAAGTTGGTTTGTTAATCAATACTACACAATTATAAAACATACTGCTGAAAATTAAAACGAATTAATAGAAATTTATTGGCAATGCAAAAAACAACTGTATCAGATCTCAACCAGAAGAAATGATATGTACCTACATGCCCATTCAGGTATATGGAAAAAAAAAACTAGGTTGAATATGCTGGTCACATCATCTGAAGGAACCAAAATTGTTTAAAACTCAAATTCAATTAATCATATCATAATATTCATATATATATGCACATATATAAACACAATTTTTTTACATATATATATATTTATATAATATATGCATACAGAGAAAGTTGTACACTTAAATACATAAAAATATAATTCAGCTAATATTAATACTTACTTCACTAGCAACTGGATATGAAGCAACAGAAATACTGGGTGAAGTTTCGATATTTGCTAATAATGATAACCTCTGGTAAAGCTCTTCTGAGAGAAATGGCATAACAGGAGAAATGACTTTTAAAAATGTCTCAATACATGTTAACATCACACGACATACAAAATAACGTTGTGCATTGTCTGTTAGTAAAACACTTTTTACATATTCCTGAAAGAAGCAAATATTTTTAAAATTGTGTAATCAAATTATCACAGCACAGAAGTTATATAATTATTAATTTTTATGTTTTAATTATTAATTTTTAATGTTTTAATAATGTTATGTTAATAATTTAAGTAATAATAACAACAAATAAATAAATGAATAAAATCTTCAACTGCTGATTCAAACAAACAAAAATCTATAATATTTAAGGATGTTTAAATCAACTTAGACTCACTTAAAAAAAATTAAGCACATAAGTTTCATCTCATCAATCTAGTCTCTCTTTTAGAGAATGAAGATGAAAATCTGTCTCAATGCTTAATTTTTTTTTTTTTTTTTAAATTCAGATGGATCAAGTAAGAGAGTATACAAATATGCACTGAACTCTAAATTATCCATGTTTGACTAATACATGGATATTTGGAAAAGGATAATGTAAAAATAATCCCATAAAATCATAATTAATGGATATGTATCCTAAAAACTAATTTTCAAAGGTTTTTAATGAACAACATTGTTTAAAATATGCTTTAATTAAAATACTAGTAACATTTATGCAGATCTTCAGTGTTTTTTCACAAAAAAAATTGCTCTACTAATTTTTTTCTTTTTAAGCTTAAATAGCATTCTTTCAGATAATACACAAAACGGTGCAAAAAGTTCTGATATCACAAAACGAGAATTCAGCATGTTCGCCTAAATAGTTTAACAGCTCATCTACATACTAGAAAGCCTTATCATGGCTATCTTTATCATTTCAACTCTTTGTGCACTTCTACCGATTTCTTTGATGTCACTGCAACAACACTACCTTGGTGTGATGAAATTACTTTTCCCTTTCTTCATCCAGATATCCATGCTTTTTTAACCAACAATTCAAAACCTTTGACACTAGAAATAGTTTCAGTGGTGCTTAATGCTGTTGTTCCATTGACAAATGTTTTAGTCTTATAGGAAACAGTTTTTTCCCATGCATAATATATTATTAAATTCTTAACTTCACACTAAACATTAACAATGAGCTTCACTGAATCAAAGTGACTTATTTTCCTCTTCTTCAAGTACTTCACAAAGAACACTGTTAAGAAACCATAATAATAATAATCTTCAAAATAGATAATTAGGATTCTGGTGTACAATAAGCACACTTACCCTTTAATACTGTATTTTCCAAGAATTTAATAACTGCACATAGATGTTTTTATATATTGATCATCAGAGTTTTTTTTACTTAATGTTAACATGAAAAATACTGAAATCTTTTGGGTTACAAAATATGCATATCTATCTTCAATCTTGAGAAAGATTTTTTCCGTTAAGAGACGATAATAATCTTTCCCTTCCCTCAATGTATACCAGTGATCATACATAAAATCTGTATTTTAAACTCTGCTTTGATAGTTGATCCACAACTGCTGCAAAGAATTTTCTAAAAACTTTATCAGATAGCTGAAAACTAACAAAACTTTCACTGAAGTATAAAAATAAATATTACTATTATCTTATAAAAATAAAAGGGGTGGCTACTTAAAACGCAAACTTAAATTTCAAAACTCTATTTAAGAGTTTAAAAAAGAAAAAAAAAAAAAAAGAATTGGTCATTTCCCAATGGAACAGGAAATACTGAAATACTATGACTCAAAGAATATGCATAACTAACTTTAACACTAATCAAGATGTTTTAAATCCCCTTTTTTAATAAAAAAACAATAATAATCTTTTCTTCTCCTCCTATCTGTACACTATCGATTAAATTTAAAATTCATACTTTTAATCTTGTTATAAAGAAAAATCACAAGGTGAAGATTTCTAGGAATAAAAGAAATGCAAAACATCAAATTTTAATTTCTACAGTTAAAAAAAAAAAAAAAAAAAAAAAAAAAAAAAAAATCATAAAGTCTCTACTACATTAAAAAAAAAAACTAACTATCAACATTTATAAATAGTTTTAGGAGTAATAGGCTATCGAAGATCTGATAAACTAGTAACATTATCATGCTAAATAGTGTTTTCAAGGTAGAACCCAAAACAGTTTCATATCTAATGAAAAAGATGGTTACACCACAGAAAGCAGATAACAAATCACTCTGTTGTTTGTGTTTCTCTATTGCAATAATTGTTGCGTTAACCAGCGGTTTTCAACAAGATTATTAATACCCAAGTTAGGTGGTGTTGACGAGATCTAAAGTGGTGTTTTTGGTCCAAGGCAAATTAAGTACATTGAGGACTAACTGCCCCCCCCAGATAATACTCACAATAGCATGCTGAAAAGTTTGATTAATAGTAAAAATCGTCGAACACATGTTTTAACAAATACTTTTAACCCTTACAAAGCTAAACCCCTCTTGAAATACTGAAATGCTCTAAATTTCATTTGAGATGCACAATGTCTTCTTCCCCTCACCACTAATGAACAAAGAGGTTTGGATGTTTCAAATGAGATTGCTTCCAGTTGCATTCTATCGCATATTTTAGGGGGACAGTGGAAAATAGATCATTGGAATCTTGGCCGTTCAGGCACCTATTGTTGGTTATTTAATACCTTTCTGACTACAAGTCACAGCACGGTTAGTGCACCACATGGAGCACCAGAGTGTGTGTACATTCCAGCTCAATCAACAAACCTAATATTTACAGGTTTGCACAGGCCAATAGTATTAATAGTGGAACAGTTGATACTATTGGCCTGTGCAGTACTATTGGCCTTGTGCAGTTTAAGATTGATGATGACAAATATGGCACCAAATATCGAAAATTAGTGTCTTTATATCAAGCACAGGTCTCATTAATAACATGATGGGTCCCGCCACCCAATAATGTATATTTCTTAATCAAAAATTGAGCAATACACTGATTTGTTAATATTTTAACAAAGTAATATTTTACAAATTATCCTTGTTTTTCAATATATAATATAATATACTTCACCCAAAAGGGTGCCAAAGAATCACTGTTTGAAAAAGTGGACAAAGACCCAAAAGAGTTTGAAAACAGTAGTTACATTATTAATTTAAAAAATAAAAGTCTTTCTTTTTTTTTCCAAAAAGAGGGTAGTAGGCAAAAAAGACTGAGAACCTATGTATTAAACACTGAATTCCAATTCTGATATGCAGTAGAGCAACATCAAATGTAATTTTGGAAGAATATAGAAGGATTTCATTCATATCTCAGCATATATATCACCACAATTTTATAATTTTGCATTGATAATCCTACTGAAGACTGAATATTAAGTTGAATATAAGATTGATCATACAGCTTGCATTTCCCTCCAAAAAAAATCCTTTTTTAATTTTGCAGAAAACTATAGAACATATGTTTATTTCATATGCATCATTTTTGCATAAATTGGCAGTAAAATAAAACATACATTGCAAATTTATCAAACATTTCACAACAAATCGTTATCTATTTCATTTTCTCAAAAAGACCATTTCCTGTTTTATACTAATTTAATAAATAAAAGCCTTTTTTAAAAACTCTTTCATTGTATGCCACAAATTAGTAGGAGCCTTAGCATACTTATTAATTCACAGGGTCTTAATGCAACCACCTGGTTACTTCTGTATCAAAATATTTCATTCCTGAAACACAATCTTTTACAGAGAATATTATCATTTCTTAAATAACAGTCTGATGCCCCAACAAAAGAATGTGAGGAATTTTTAAGGAAGCAAAATTCCTCTCTTTTATGTTCAAATTTGCATAAAATCAGTTTTGATATAACAAAAGATAGTCAAGTAAGGGTTAAGACACATAGGAAAAATTTTTTACACACCTTATATCATTCATACCTTATATCATTACCCAGGGCAATTTGCTTAATAACATGTAGCATTGGCCATAAATCCCACAGTATATGGGGGAAAGTGCCGTTTAATGGCCAGGAACTCAAAAATAAGGCATTTACACAATATTAGCTGGATACTCGATACTTTGTTACATCAACAGCCAGAATCTCATAATGATACTGTACTTGCAAGATAGGCAGACATTCACGCAAACATATATACTTTACTCAAATCTGAAGATATCTGAAGCATCTTAAGATAGGATCTGAGTCTAGATCCCTCATAACAGAAGCAGCCCAATTAATGATCATACTGATAGGCTGAATAAGAAAATAGTTGTACAATGTATAAATACTTCAACTTTCAGCATAATGCTGCAAGCCAATTATTTTTAAAGAGAAAATAATTCCCTCCTACCATAGGCCAGTTTGAAGATCTTAGATCCAATCGTTATCTTTCAGATGAATTTAAAACTTGCACTTCAATTATAATCATTTCATACATTCAGAAAAAAAAAAAAAAAAAAAAAAAAAAAAAAAAAAAAAAAAAAAGACATTTCCCATAAAAAAATTTTCTGATCTCATCAAATTAAAATACAGCTATTATGAAAAACTGACTTACAAGATATATATCACAAAAGTTTTTAACCCAAAACTGTCTTATTGCAGCAGCTACTAAATGAAAATTGAATTCTTCTAGATGTGTGTTGCTCACTGCCACAAGGCCAGCTAATCGACTGAGTATCCATCGATCAACGCTTTCCCTTTCCAGATTTAAAACCTATTAAAATAAAGTATTGTAATTAAAAAATATACTAAAATAGTATAAATTATATACTAAAAGATTATAGTAAAATATAGTATATATAAATATATACTATATAAATTACTATAAAATATAGTATTATATATATATTATATACTACATTTTATTAAATACTATATTTTATTACTATAAAATATAGTATTATATATATATATATACTAAAATATATTTTTATACTAAAATAGTATAAAAGTATATTAAAAAATATACTAAAATAGTATATATACTAAAATATTTATTGTCCTAAAACAAGATACAAGACAAGAAAATGAAGGAAAATTTGTTGTAACAATAAAATGTTCTTTAATGTTCTTTAATTTCTGTAACAATTAAAATCACAAATTTCTTGATTTTTGCTTATAAGCTTTAACAATTTTTGCATATCATCATAAAAATTTTGCTTATCGTAAGCTAACACAATTTAATTTGTTAGATATTTACCTCAAAACATACAGAAAAATAAGTAACACAATAACAATTTACACTATATTATTTTGACTACTTACTTCCTCAGAAGTAAGAGGAGTAAGAGAACCCACTGGATAATTTTCAATAGATTTTCTGAAGAACCTGAAGCCTTGCCAAATTTTATTACAAAAATGTCGACATGTTCGCACAGCTTTCACATCAATACTGATTTGTTGATCTATATTAAAGATTACAAAATAATTGCAAATGCAAATTAATTGAATATGCTCCAAATTTAAATAACCGATCAAATAAAACATATTTTTCAGATACAACTGAGGAAAACTGTAATTAAAAATTTGACGATATCATAAACACTTTGAATAATTATTTAAAATAATTATACTTATTTCTTTATAAGTTATTATGAACAGGATTCCTATCAAATATGATTTGCATCCATACAGAAACTGGAAATACATACAACTTTTCCTTGCAAGTAATTTCAAAGTACTAAACTTCATTCTCTGATTACTATATTTAAATTTCTTTTGTATAATATACTGACTTTGTATCATTTTGTTGCACATGAAGAAGAATATATAAGAGCTTTTGTTAAAATAATTAAAAGTTTTATATATTGCAGTTATAGCAAATTTATTTTATACATTTAATCTTGCCTAATCATTATGCTGTAATCAAGATCACTGCAACATGCTATAATCGTAACTCTACTTTTAAATAAGCCACAAATTATCTCAAGAATGGTTCCTTTTTATTTAGAAAAGTTCCGCAAAATAACTGATCAAAACTGGAAGCTACACAACATATGACCACATCACTTTTCCATAAGAAATAATATAACTCCCTCAATCTTGCCTTAACCCTCTGAGCAGCCTCATGACTGGATTAAGACAGACATGCCACTCAAGGAGTTAAGGACCCTCCTTTTTCCCAGTCTTCGTGATGACCACAATCCTAATCAAATACTGCTTCAAAACTTTTGTCTAACTTTATTTATATCATAACTGACCCAGATTATCTTTACTTAACTGTATTGCTATATTAGTTTCATTATTATTATTATTGCAGAAACAATGTGTAATAAAATACTCTTACCTTGTACCACAGTTATCTGTGAGTAACACAGTAAATGATTCAGTCTCCCTCCTGAATGATGTGATTCTAAGCATGATATTCATAATATTGTGATCAGTATGAAATTTTAAAGCTGTGACCTTTCTCATTTGACGTTATCTAGCAAAATCTGATACATGACCTTCTGCCATATTCTATCTCTGTATAAAGTTAATGGCAATCAGTACTTATCATCTTGTCAGTAAACTGAGAAATCCGTCATCTGAAGGTACGAAAATTTAGCATATAGCTCAGGACAATTCAATAATGCATGAAATGAAAGAATAGCTTATTTTGCATACTGAGTTACACATAAATAAACTAGCAAAATTTTAATTGTTCTATTTCAATCAGAAGTTAGACTAAACACTATCAGTGGACTTCACAATAAATATGTGCCAGAAATTGAAAGCAAACTCAAAAGGTCAAATCTATGTATTGGTAGAATTTGTTTGAAACACCAACCAGGAGACTGTCAAAAACATTTTCATTTTTTATAATCACATCTCTAGACTTCTGAAAAGCTAGCTTAAGAAAGAATAAGAAAGAATTACATTTTTAAACACCTTCACTCAGAACATAAATATGAGATTTAAATTTTAATTATTTATTTTAATTGTGTATTATAACTATTCATATTTAATTTTTTCCATGTATTAATAGTAGGACTTTTTTAACTAAAAACTAATAAATCAGTTCAAGAAAAGTAATTTTTTCCTCCCAGTGGCTGGACACTTGCTCTACAATCATTGGTCAGGACTAGTCAAAGGCATTAGTCATAAATGACCAACTGTCTCATCACTGAGAACAATGCCAGGGTGCTCAACAAGTGGTGAACTGATATTGATACCAATTTTTGTACATATATGGATCATTTTAACAAAATTATATGTAAAATTGTAGCCTATTTTAATATAATGTAACATGAAAATCTCAGCAGGGGTGAGCATCAACTGGTGGATTTTGGGGTGACCGCCTTTACTAAGACCTAAGACACGCATACTAAAGGAAGGATATTTATGGAACACCAATGCTAGCTAGACTAGAGAATTGGCTTTTCACAATCGATGTGACTATGTTTACTTAAGCAAATGATTCAACGAATGTGTAGATGACACATGTACCTTCATTAAAGCACATGATGATGTTTAAATACATACATTGGTTACAGATTCATTGATTCACATGTGTTCGCTGCCCGCTGCATTGAATACGTCCACACTCCATGGTCTAGCAGTCGCTAAAGTTCCTTAAACATTCAACTTGACAATTTTGTGTTACTTGTGTTTTTGTAGTAAAAATAGTAATCTGTCATATTTTAAAAGAGGGATACAATGTTGAAAACATGTGTTAAGAAAAGAAAAACATACAATTTTAATACAGAATGGAAAGAACAGTTTTTCTTCACAATGCTCAATGCAAAATGTGTGTGCTATATATGTCATGCAAGTGTGGCACTTCCAAAAAAAGAAAACGTTCAAAGACATTTCAAAACCAATCACGGAAGTTTTGATACAGATTTTCCGTTAAAAAGTGAATTACGGAAAAGTTAAAAGAATTTAAATCATAATTAATTAGACAACAATCATATTTTATTTAACCCAATATTACATCTAAGGCTGCAACAGCTGCATTTTTTCGTATGAGTCATGTGTTAGCAAACTATAAGGAACCTTTTGCAGATGGAGAAATGATAAAAAGTTTTCTGGAATCCAGCGATTTATTATTTGATTCATTCAAGAACAAAAATGAATTTATTTCAGCAATTAAAAACGTACAACTTTCGCCTAGAACTGTCATGCGCAGAATAGAAATAGTGAATTCTGATCTGGCTGATCAGCTAACCGAAGATATTACTAACTGAATTTGCTTTTCTTTGCAGTTTAACGAATCTATGGACATGGTTGATATTCTCAACTTAGCATTTTTATAAAAATGGTTTTTTAGGATATGAGTGTAAAAGATGCATTATTAATAATATTACTTTTAAAGAAGAAAACATGAGGTGAAGACTTTTACTGCACCTTCAAAAATTACATAGAGAAGAAAACAATTCCAGTTTATAAAGATGTACCGATGACAACTGATAGGTCCCCATCAGTGACCAGCGCAGTCAATAGATTTTTGGCTATGTGTATCAGAGACATATTTCATTTACTTTTGTATCATTGCATTATTCACCAACAGGCCCTCTGGTGTAAAATTGTAAATTTTCGTCATGTTATGGGAATCTGCATAAAAATTGTGAACTCAAATCGAGGAAGAAGACTTCAGCAAAGACTGTTTCGGGCTCAACCAAAAAAAACACGAATCTGATTACGAGGAATTGTTATATCATGCAGATGTCCATTGATTAAGCTGGAGTATATTTTTACAAAAATTCAGGGGCCTAATACAAGAGGTAAAAGATTTTTAGAATCAAATGATAAAGTGTACATTGAATTCATTCATGACGTTTGGTTGATGGATTTAGTTTTTGTTACTGATATAACAATCCATATTAATGAATTGAACTTACAATTGCAAGGAAAAAAATCAAACAATAGTAGAATTGATAGGATTTGTTAATACTTTCAAAAATAAGTTAAAGCTAATATCTTCCCAGTTGATGAAGCATGAACAAAAAATTTCATTCTGACGAGTTGTTTAAAAACAGAGGTACATTAAACAAAGAGAAATGGGTATTATGATGAAATAAAACTTCACTCCGAATTTGAGAGATGTTTTCAAGAATTGAAAAATCTAGACTAGATCTAATTGTTAATAGAGAATCTAGACTAGAACTAATTGTTACATTCCTGTGTTACCCATTTGGCAATTTTGATTTAGAAGAAGTAACTGAAAATATAAATTATACGTTCCCTTTATCTCTGGAGGAAAACGAAGTTTTTCTCCTTCAGAACGACATAACTTTAAAAGCATGTAGTTCAGAATCTAAGAATAACTTTTTAAATCTAATGAACGAAGTAAAGAATCCTAATTTAAAAAGAGTTGCATTTCATTTAACATCGTTCTTTGACTCTAACTATCTGTGAAAATCTGCATTTTGAATGATAAATATAATTAAGACAACATATTGTTGCCGTCTCACAAACAACCATTTAGAATCCAGTGCAAGATTACCAGTTAGTATTTATATACCGAGATATTTAACATTGGTGGACAGTATGCAGACTAAGTCTTCTACTAACTATAACTACAAGAACTATAGATGAAAATGATTTACTTTTTTAATGTCTTTTGAATTATTTGATAGGAAATGCATCATTTGAAATTATTATGTTTAAGGCTTGCCTTAAATGTGGTTTTAAAAGAGTAAGTTTTTTTAGGTACAGAAGTACATATTCCATATTTATTATTAAAGTTATAATAAACACTTATTAAGTAATAAGTACTTATTAAGTTATAATATTTATTATTAAGTTATAATAAATACTGTAGACATTTTTTTAGCTCACTACACCTATGCCACTGGGCAAAACGCAACACCTTGAAAAAATTAGAAGCCCATACCCTGGAAAAGTCTGCCAACCACTGATCTAGGAGGAGGAAGCACTGCTGGAAAAATACGAATACAGAGGAAAGTCTATTTAATATTGAGTAAATGGCTACCTCACTAAACTGCCAAGCTGAGGTATCAGCAAGATGGCAACAGTTTTGAAGAACTAGATTTTGTTGCCAAATTTAGCGAGAAATCGCCAAACATGCCGCCCATATGGCAACATTTTGGTTCAGTAACTGTAGCTTTGTAATAGGGATTGTAACTGAATAAATATAATTGATCACTATATTAGCTTATGAACCCATAATATTATACCCACAAGAAAAGGATAAAGTAACTACAAGCATTTCTGCTTTCTCTGCTATTTGAGTTTGTGCCCAAGGCTATGACAGTCATCTTCCTTATTATATACTAAATTCAGTTATATAAAAATGTTAGAAGTCCTTTAGGCATCTGAATTGAATTTTTATAAAAACTTACGCTGAACATCATGTGAGAGCAATGAAAGACGAAGGCCATCAGTTCCACATTCTGGTATACCCTGAGGGAAATTTTTTCGATAACCACATATTATGCTTTTCATTTCCTCTGGAGATAAACTAACTTGATCTTCTTTAGCCCGTTTCAACATATCCTGCATAATTTTAAATTAAAATGCAGTTTTTTATACAGTTTTATTGAATAACTAAGAAATTATAGTAGTGGTGTTTTAATACACAAAAAGGTAATTTTTAATTAAGATAAAATTTCTTCAATATTTTGAAGACACAGCTTCATAATATAAATATATTATTTTGAAGTTAGTATAAAAATATCAACTTCAAAATAATGTATAAATTTTAATTAAAATACAACTTTAAGATTAAAATATAATACTTCAAAAAATATTCAATAAGACACTTATTTAAAAAAACAAACAATTTAACTTCAAAATGTATTCAGTTTTGAAAGCACATATAACTTCAAAATATAATCAATTTTGAAACCAGGTATAAGTTCAAAATACTTTTGATTAAGATACAAATTTCAAAAATAACAATTTTTAATTCAGATGCAACTTTAAATAATAATTTAAGATAGAATTTCAAAATAATTAATTAAGACACAAAATATTCACCTTTTTAAATAAATGTATAAATTTTATTAAATACTCATGAAGTACTCTAAATATCAGTATAAAAAAGATCAAATAAATATATATCAAATTTATTACCATTTGATGCAAATGCATTCAGTTCGCCTTCTTAACTTCTCAGATGTTAAAATATAATATTGGTTTTAACCAATTAATTTAACTATCAAAATCTTATTATGCTCAATTATCACCACCACATCTAACTGTTTGGCTATAACTCAACCACTTATGAGAAAGTTCATTCAATGACTCATAGAACTACAAAAGCTACAGGTTACAAAATTTATCCACCATTATTTGCTGAAAACTAAATCAAATCAAATATAAATTTGAGTTTAACACAAAAATAACTAGCATTATAAAATCTATCTATTATTAACTAACTCTGAACAACTCAGTCTTACTTATAATAAACTTAACATTAGACAAAGAAAACTTATGTATTGCTTCCTTTCATCAAAAGACTAGAAAAATATTGTAATATAATCATAAGTAAACACTTAAAAATATTTGTTGTAAATGTAAGATTACAAAATAATATCTACATCTGCTTTTAAATTTTGATTAATTTATCTTCTGGAGAATATGGAAAAATAGAAATAATAAAAAAGAATTAAGATAAAAACAAATATGTTCCTTTAAAGCAGGGTTTCTTAAACTTTTTTGAGTCATGATCCCCTTTTATCACTGAGATTTTTTCACGATCCCCAGGACCTCATAATATTTACAAAACTTTTGTATTGCGCAAATCCGACACGTGCGTGAGTGAAACTGTCAATTTTTTCACTTGTACTGTAATATACTATTGCAGTTTTAGGTCATCAACTTTAATTTCTAATTTTAAGACATAGAACAATGTGAAATTTTTAAATAAGTATCAGATGAAATGGCAGCGTCATGTGCGAAGCAAGGAAAATGAACGTTTATATTATAAAAAGAATGCATCAAAACGTATTCGATTTTTTTTTCTTTGCCTGTATTGTCGTATCTTTATCTATTTTCAGATACATTGTGTAAAAATATTTGGTAATTGTAAAATTATTATATTAAGTTTAAGAAATATCAAAATTGCTAAAATTTTTGGCGACCCCCCTGACAACAGACTATGATAAAAAATTTCTTTCAATCATTACAGGACATAACTTTTGAAGTACTATTAAGTACTATATTTAACTTCAGAAAATTAGGTGTCTGTAAGTTCATTTTTTAGTTTATTTTTCCTACTTTATTAAAAAAAATCATTATTAGGTGATGATGTGGTTGCACAGATTGACAATTAATGGGCTTTTTCTTAACGCCTTCCCATTATCTGATGTTCTGCCATTTATGTTGGATAAGCGAGACTACTGTACCTCAAAATAGATGAATATTTACCACTGAAAAGAAACTTCAGAAAAACATTTATGCATTTAATCAGTTGATGTATACAATTTTCAGTGCAATAGAGATATGCAAGCAAACCTCTAAAGATATGCCTTTTATCACATCTAATGGATCAAGAGTATTTCCTAATGACTTGGTCATTTTTGTTCCACGTGAATCACAAACCATTCCATGTAAAAGTACCTGAGAAAAGATTACAGAATTTTATTATTATTATTATTATTATTACTATTATTATTATTATAGTCTTTATGATATAATCAATAAATTCTTAATATCATAATTTACACAACAATTTGCTTATTAAATAAAAAAAAACATTATGCTAACATTATGTTACCAGAAAATACAAAACACCTAACTCAGTTTACATACAAAGTTACTTAAATTATAGGAGCTGCCATGGGTACAAATTCCATAAGTTATAACCAACAAAGAAATATGAATATTTCTAAACTTGTATTCACTAAATAACTAAATAGCCATGTTAATTATCTCTTGACATCCTTTTCTTGAACTGTCTTGAATTGTTATATAATTCTTCCTCTTAGAAGATAAAACAATTTTTTAGCAGTACGATTTACAATAGCTGGATCTGGATCAAAAATATTAATTTTTATCAGGTAGTTAGGCTTCTCTTTTAAAAAACTGTAATCTGCTTCAGATTGCACTCTGACACCTCGAATATAAATTTATCATTTAAAATCGATTTAAAAAAATTTTCTAATTAAAAAAATTCTAAAAAACAAAATTTCATTTTTGTATTCAGATTGCAATTAAATTCCTGAAACAGTTGCAAATTGAATAGTTATGATAGACCTGCTAGTTATATATATTCAAAATACAGAACATTAAATCATGTATTTAAATAAGCTTTCAAAATAGCAATGCTACATGAAAGAGGGCAATCTGCTTATGATATTATTCCATCATAGCATAGTTTTAACAGGAGAAAAAATTACCTCATGAAAACCCCCAAAACCTTCTTCAAAGAGGTTCTTTTTTAATTATCATTTTACTTATTCTGAAGAAAGTTTTTTTTTTTTTTTTCCCTTTTTACAATTAAAAGCCATAGCTACAGTTACCCAACTTAATAGTTATTGAAAAGAAAATTGTATTTTTCTCAAACATTTTAAATGAACGGTATACGTTTTTATGTGATGAAAATGGCTATAATCACAACTGTAGTATCATGTCACATTTTAACTTCTTCAAATACAATATATTAATGTTAAATAATTCGAATAATTATGCATCTTTGTGTGAAATCTGATTTTCAGAAACAATTCACATTGACAGATGCCATATTTACTATGTCTGAAAATATGTAAAGAATCTTATTTTATACTGTTGTTGGTATAAATTGTGGCCTATGATCATGTTCTTAGGTGACTAGGTAAGTGAAGAATATTATCTTAGTTTTGAAACATATTCGGCACCCATGACTGTTATCCTTGATATGATTACATGTTTGGAGAAGTTGGTATTAATGAAGAGGAGATGCAGGTTCAAATGGATATAGACAATTCTATTTTTGTCACATTCTTAAGAATACGATGAAATAATCTGACATGTGCTGGGAAAGGTGAAAGATGATGAGGAGGAAGGTGAGAAAATGAAGACGAACACAACATGCAAAGCAAGAAAATTATACAAAAGGAGGCTGAAGAAGAACTGCAGACTTTCAAAGATTTTCACAGGGCTGTGGAGTCGGAGTTAGGCAGATTTTGGGGTAAAAGGAGTTGCTAAAAACAGATTGATTCCGACTCCAGTTTTTTTTGGACAGTTTGAATTTTAAATAAAATTAAAGTGAATCGAAAAACAAATTAATGACAAACTGAGTTATTATTTTATTAATGACTATGTACATTAATAAATAGTTATTTTCTACTTTATTGACATATTAATAAATAAATATAAGAGAGGAGAATGGATGTGATATTTGCCATTAGTGATTAAACTGATTCATTTAGTTACAAATTTCCCTGGTAAATTTATGTAAGTAGCAATAGCAGCAAGAACTCCCAAAATTGATGCCTTTTTACAAAGAGAACAGGAAAAGGAGCCATGTTGCTTGATCAATATCAAGCAACACGAAGAGGAAGTACATATTTGATGATATGAAGGTTGTTAGAATTAAGAACTTTTTTAGAAGATGTAGATAATCCTAATGTTTCACTAACAGAAAGACTGTAGAATGATCTTTCATAATTTTAGACTCTTCTTTGTACATAGCCACAAAAAAGCCTCAATCTGAAGAATTAACAGGAGGCGAGAATGGAAGAATGTGATGTTTGTTCTTTCTGAAATGGAGGGTTTATTGCAGAAGGAATCATTTCTTCAATGAAGAAAAGAGAAATTAGTTTGCTAGACAATGTGATCTTGCTGGGTTCAATATATATAGATCCAAACAAAACACCATGAATTTTGTTGGATGACATGAATAAATTAAGAATGGACAAAAAAAAAAAAAAAAAAAAAAAAAAAAAAAAAAACGAAATATATGAACTTCCAATAGGAATGAAATTATTTTCAAAACAATTGAAGTATTCAAATAAGGACAGTCAAATAGCAGACATTGCAACTGAGTCTCTATCATCCTCTTTCAGTGATGAATTAGATTTTGAGATATATTTTTGGATAATATTGAAAAGGCTAAGGCAACGTGAATGAAAATAAAGAACTAAAAGCCTTTAGATATAAAAATGAAGAAATACAAACAAGATTTCTACACGGCCCTTGAAGAAATAGAGAAATATGATTGCTCTTGCAAGACACCTCTTTTAAAACTTATAAAAAATCTATCCTGAAAAGTTTAAAGATGTAGCCCTAACAGTAACTGGTTTTCCTCCTACTCAAATTAGCATGGAAAGACTCTTCCCAGCTCTGAAGTTTATCAAATCAGATCTATGGTGCTCCAACCAAGATCTTGCCATAGCTATACTGTTTCTTAGAAATACCTAATACCAGTTTTCCATTTCATTATAAATGATAATTAATATAAATAATTTTCTATGCCATCAAATGTTTTTTCTATAGCATCTAATACTATTTTATATTAAAAAAATAAGCTGTATATGTTTACATATATATGTATATGAGGGAGTGGGAGTTGGAGTCGGAGTCAGAGTCTTTAAAATTCCAGGAGTAGGACTTATATTTTCCCTACCGACTCCACAGCCGTAGACTTTCAGGGCAATGTTCATCTTTGTTAGCATATGGTATTATGAAATTCCGCTGCATACACAGTGAATTTTTAAAATTCCAAGGATAAACTTGTATGCAGACCTACATTCAAAATCATATGTTATCATGATATGAAATTTGCAAGCTTTGTGTGATAATATATACAAGTACATTTAAAATGTTGTTTAATTTTGTTTTTCTGAAATATAAAATCATATATATGCACTTTTATTTTCAATAATCTATGTGGTTTTTGATATTATTTTTTAATTGTGGCCAATAAATCAAAAAACAACACCAATGGATATCACATGCTGCAATTTCTACTGATAGCATCACAAATTATGAACAGGTAAGGTATAAAAATAAATACCAGTATCCTTCCCATAACAAAGTAGATAAGTTCCTAGAAAACACCATGCTGTATGATATCATGTTGTAGTAGACTAACAACCAATACAAAATGGAAGGATGCATTCCAAAAACTTGTGAAAATTTTTTTTTAATTCAGTAATTTTTTATTCAAAGTATAAATATGTATATACAGCTAATTTAATTTAAGCTCATTCTTATTATATTTCTTCTCTATTTCTGTTCAGTATAATGATGCAACAGCATTTTTTAGGTCGATGATATCATTTTCTGAACCCATTTATTTTTAAGGAATTTTTCGCATCTTTTGCCTTCTTTAAAAAATCTGTTATTCAAAGTTTATAGTAAATCTTATTGTATGGAGACAATTAATTTTCCAACTCCCTTTTTAATTTTCACCTTCTTTCGACACATGGGTCTTCAGTCAAGAAAAATTATTCAAGACTTTTTGATAACGTAAGTGCTTCCCATTACTTTTTTACAGTAAAATTAGTGACTTTACAATTAAAATATTAATATTAAAATTCACATGGACAGAAGTAAGTTTAAACATTTTATCAATAAAGAAATAACTGAAACTGCTAAACAGGATTGGTATTTTCTGATTATCTGCACCCTTGTTAAAAAGTCATGGGGAAAAACTATTCATAAGCCAAAGCTGTATGTTGCGACAATAGCTATGTGGCAACCCCCAATGTTGGGAAAAAGTATTTATGTGGCAACCCAGGTATGCATATAACATATGTCTGTTTTGGCCACTGCATAATGCCAAAGTTGCACAATGCTAAATTTGCGTAACTCTCTCATTTATTTATTTATTTTATTTTATTTTATTTTATTTTATTTATTTATTTATTTTTTAAAGAAAAAAAAATTTTCTCAAAAAAAGGTAAGTGTTTTAAAACCAATGTTTCTCACTTTTTTAATTTTATTAATTGACTACTTTTGTATAGAATTCTTTAGAAAATGACTGTTCCTTTTTGTGCATTAGGCTGCTAAAAAAATAACTGGCAACGAGTTTATGAATGCTCTCCAAAGTCACAAATGAGTTGAGATCATTTGAGTGAGGGTGAGGATAGTTAGAAAATATCTTTTTTAAAATTATTTAAATCTAATGTTCTTTTAAAGGAAAGACTAATTTTATTTAAATAGTGTCTGCATTTCAATATTTACATTTCATACTAAGCTCAGCATGTATAACATATTGAAATAACCACTTAGCAAATATTTATCTGTTGAATGCATATGTCTAACCCGTGCCTTCTAAAAATAAAATAAGCTTAATGATTATTTTTCAAAGCAACTTTCAAAAAAAAAAAAAAAAAAAAAAAAAAAAAAAAAAAAAATTGCATATAATGGTGTATCTGCAGATTCATTATAAACACAAAATATTGTTTTTTAAATCCTTTTTTGTTTCATTTTTTTTCCATCATTGTCTTATTGTTATTTTTACTGAAGACTGGTCACAAAAGCAACTAGTATAAGAAAGTTAAACACCAGTTGAGTTCAGGAAAGAACTGATTTTAAAAAGTACATATTTTTTTAAGTATACTTGCCTTGTACACTAAGAGAAGCAATAAAATAGAGTTACCTCATGAAAAGGAAGTTTTTCAGTAATTTGTTGCCCTAACATAACCATTCTTGCAACCCAGAAAAAAAGAATATCAAATCCAGTTTCCATTAAAGTAAGTGGGTATAGCTTTTCCAATGCATTTTCCTAAAAATTTCAAACATCACTATTGCATGAAACAAAACAAAACAAAAAATTTAAATCTTAGCATTAAAAACTGAATCAAAAATTTTAATAGAACTTTTAACTTAAAAAAAAAAAAAAAAAGTTAAATATATCCAAAAATATAGCCTAGTTTAATACAATCAATTTAAGAAAACACACAAAATGTATTTTTCAGGTCAAAAATTACCATAATATATATATGATAATGTCATCAAAAATGTAAAAGTGTCATTGATGATATACAAAATATTTTAATCAATACTAAAAATGCAGAATATTAACTATTACTAATTTATAATTTAAAATGCATCAAAAAACATTATCTATAACATTTTAACAAGGTTAAATACTTTTTAATAATAATACTGAAGAATTTCTTTTTTCCTTCAAAACATTCATTTATTAGCAAAAGTTAGACTAAAGTATGTTCTGTGAAACATTCATTATCATCATGGAAACTTTATAGTGCATTTACTCTTCAGTATAATACTTGTAGCCAATGTAAATCAATTAAAATGCTTCAGTAAATAAACTAAAATTATTTGGTACTGTGTAAAAGGTCAGAATCAATAGCTACTTAGCATAAAAAAAGCTAATGATGCTTGATTAGAGTAAATTTCAATGACTAATCGTGTTTTTTCCTACCCTCAAAGATCTTACTGTATCTTTACATCACAACTTTTTTGAATTAATTTCAACCACAAATTAACTTTTAAATCTATATAAAATATAACTTCCCAGCCGCATCAAACTTGGAGTATTTTGTAATAATATTTGCCACTTACTGGTTATCTGGTACTCAAAAATACAATATAACTGAATTAACATTGGACAAGCTTAGAAGCTCGTTTGGATTCTTCTACAAAGATACTAATTTTAATCCTTTTTTACCTTGTTAATGTTCTCACTTCCTTTTTTAAAGGGAAAGGAGAAAGTAGGAATAGCTTCTTTATTTCAATATCAACTTCAATTCCGAGACTGCAATCTGCACATAAATAATGGGACATGTGTAAATAGAGGTATAAGATCACTAAAATAGAGGAATAAGAGCAGCAATGTGGTACAATTATCACTTGCCTTCTTTCATTTGGATGCAAAGACAAGTTGAACAGAATAGCAATCTGTCTAATGTCATTTGAATGCAACTGCCATACAAAACACTTCAGAAATTAACAAATCAGATTACATAAACCAAACATCCCAAGAGATTGCTCAAGGGTGTATCAGCAGTTATTGCATAAACAAGTACTTAATATTTTTAGTAAACTCTACTTACTAAGGAACATAATTTTTAAGACCTTAAAATATAAAGTCATACCAATTACTTCATTTTGTAAATAAACTTCAATAATTGTATTTTTCTAAATTAAATGGGGAAAATATATCACAGTTAATTTTTGTTCCAATAACAAAAAACAGAAGTGTTTACACTCACCCCTCAGCAAAAGGTGATGACATAACACGTTAATAATAATAATAATGACAATAATGCATGAAGCTGTGCTGAAAGCTTTTGCTGTTGCTTGGCAAGTACTGCTCTTAGATATATTCTATAAGCAATTTCAGTAATCTGTGATATTGCTCACATTAAGCAAAATTTTGCATTATCTCTGTTTTCCTTTCTGGACTAATTACAGCTAGATATTTTGCAAGAGCAGTTTTTCATCATACATGTATAAACAAGCCAGTCTGTCTATACAAGCATGATGAAAAACTCACTCATTTCATTATTGCAACTATTGTAGGCCTTTCCCATTGCCAATACTAACGACATGAAGACAGGTAAAGGTTATCAGTGAGATGTATTCTTTTCAGCAAAGAATCAAACAGTAGATACTCATGGCTGACAGATGGGGCAGTTTTTCATGTGCCATCCTACATATAGCATGAAATTTTAAATTTTATTTTAACTCTCTTATTTCTATCAGGCATTCTTTTTCCATACAGAAAGCTTTTCTCTTTCTGCTCTATCGTTTTTTTAATTAATTGCTTCCAGACATTTCTACTCTAAGACCTTTATATAACTCTTATATAATTTCATTGCATAATACTGCATATACATGGATCTTCCTCTAATCAACATTTAATGACTATTTTTTCTACATATAGCAGCTCGGTGCCAGATTTTCAGAAGACATACAGCAGCATCTATTTAAATATGCTTCAAATTGTTTATGCATTTCACCTATTCTATAAATACTTGTTCTTTTTTTTCCTCTTCTTTCCCATTGTTATGAAACACAGCCTCACAACTATAACTATTACACAACTCCTATAGACTTCTTCTGAAACAGAACCTTGCAACTATTAATGTTGATGTATTCTAAAAGATTAAAATTAATATATTTTAACAAAATAAATACATTAGACAGAAATGCAGTCTTTCTGAAACTTAATTTCAGTAATACTAATTTTTAAATGACAGTAACACTAAATTTTAAATATGTACATGTTTAGGTTGATCTTTACAATATGGTAACTGGTAGTTTGGCGACATTTTGGAGGCGATAAAGTTTACTACCTGGGACTTTGGTAATAATGTGAGCAGTACTCAGTTTCGATTACGCATTATTTTGCATGAGGGAAATGAGAGATCATGGGATATGTCATGTGATATTAATGGACGAATTACGGTTCTTTAATCGGAAAAGGGGGGAAATCGGGAAAAAATGTGGAAATTTTGTATTTAGCTTTATTCTGTGTTGTGTGAAACAGTGTTGTTTAATTTTTGGATCCCATGGCCCTAAGTAAAGTGAATTTGAAATGGGTATTTAGGCATTGTGATAAAGAGAAGTTTGCTTTTTATTTAGCGGAGGAAGTATGGAGGAAAAATTCGCAGAAAAAATCTTTCAATAATATTATTGAATGAATTAGAAAAGTGTATCCGCCACGTAATCAAGATTCTGAAGAAGATTAGGTAAGTTAGTATTTTTAATTATTTGAGGATATTATTTTTATGCATTGTTCTAATATAAAGTGGAAAGGAATTTGGTATTATTGGGAAAATTGTTATTAGCAATGATTTAGTTTAAAGTAATTAGGATTGTAAGGTAATTTTTATTAATTTAATGTATGTGCTCATTCATATTTTAAGTAGTGTTTTTGAATTTAATTATATTTTAATGAAATGATAGTTATTTTGTGAATTTTATGTTTGTAGGAATTTGGTATACGTTTAAGTTGAAATAAACGTGCATGGAAATAATTTAATATTTGGTACTAAGTATTTGTAATGCTTGCGGTATGAATTCGTTGGTGACGTGTATAATGTAATAGATGATTTAGAGGTAAACGTTTTTGGATATTTTATTTATTTTATATGTGGAAATGTTCATATTTGTAAAGGGTAAATACTTTTTCGCGATCAGGTAATTTCATATATGTTCTTTTTACCAGGTTTAAAGATTGAGAAAATTGTCATGTATTTTCGTGAAATTTTTCTAATTTATGAGAAAAAAGCAGTGTACATGGATATAGTGAAGAGTGTGCGCAATGCCATTTTTGTGCAATTCTGGGATGTTTTTTTAAGTGAAAGTAAGTCGACGTGTACATGGTTTAGTGATATTTTAATTAAATGATAGTTATTTTGTGAATTTTATGTTTGTAGGAATTTGGTATACGTTTAAGTTGAAATAAACGTGCATGGAAATAATTTAAATATTTGATACTAAGTATTTGTAATGCTTGCGGTATGAATTCGTTGGTGACGTGTATAATGTAATAGATGATTTAGAGGTAAAAGTTTTTGGATATTTTATTTATTTTATATGTGGAAATGTTCATATTTGTAAAGGGTAAATACTTTTTCGCGATCAGGTAATTTCATATATGTTCTTTTTACCAGGTTTAAAGATTGAGAAAATTGTCATGTATTTTCGTGAAATTTTTCTAATTTATGAGAAAAAAGCAGTGTACATGGATATAGTGAAGAGTGTGCGCAATGCCATTTTTGTGCAATTCTGGGATGTTTTTTTAAGTGAAAGTAAGTCGACGTGTACATGGTTTAGTGATATTTTAATTAAATGATAGTTATTTTGTGAATTTTATGTTTGTAGGAATTTGGTATACGTTTAAGTTGAAATAAACGGCATGGAAATAATTTAAATATTTGATACTAAGTATTTGTAATGCTTGCGGTATGAATTCGTTGGTGACGTGTATAATGTAATAGATGATTTAGAGGTAAAAGTTTTTGGATATTTTATTTATTTTATATGTGGAAATGTTCATATTTGTAAGGGGTAAATACTTTTTCGCGATCAGGTAATTTCATATATGTTCTTTTTACCGGGTTTAAAGATTGAGAAAATTGTCATGTATTTTCGTGAAATTTTTCTAATTTATGAGAAAAAAGCAGTGTACATGGATATAGTGAAGAATGTGTGCAATGCCATTTTTGTGCAATTCTGGGATGTTTTTTTAAGTAAAAATAAGTCGGGTGTACATGGTTTATGTGTATGTGTTATTTTGAAAAACGCGTAAGGAGTATATTGTGCACTTTTTCCCAATTTTGCAGTGAATATTTGTCATGATTAAGCAGTTTTGTTTGATAAATTTCTAGCATAAGTGTAATTCGGCTAGTAGATTGTTGGAAGAAGTGTTCAGTAGATAAAAAGAAAAGAAACATGTCTTTACTTCGTGAAGACAAAATGGCGGCGGGGAAAAAGAAATAGAGGGTTGCTGTAGGAGAGTTGGTTGCCAAATTTTCGCCAAGTTACTATAATGTAAAGATCAACCCATGTTTATTCTATAATAGAGTTTATCACATCCTTCTACTATACCCTGATAAATACAGCATTAGAAACATTGTGTCTGATTATTTTGAAAATAAATACTTGTAATACTGATATTTCAGAAACATTATAAAACAATATGGTACTTTTCCGTTTTGCCAGCGCAAATCTTGCCAAGCACACTTTGTTGGCGACAGTATACATATAAAAAATGTTAACAAATGTTAGTTCTAAGAATTTTTTATTTTGAAAGCATAAACATTTTAATATGGTTTAAAATTTTGTAAAAAGCCACCAAGTAAAGACAATAAATTTGTAAAAAGACATTAATTTAAGAATTTACTATGCTTTCATGGTTCAACATCCTGATTCGCCGAATTGTATCACGTGACCCCATGTAATCTTATCTCACGTAAACTACACTACAAAAATCTAATTCTCTCAGTAATTTAATTTCAAGTTAAATCTTAAATTAAATCTTATGGAATACAAGTTATGGAATACAAGAATTATTTCAATTCCTACAAATAGCTTACTCAGAAATTATGTAAAACCGAAGTGCTTTACTTCGCTAGTGCATTCTCATTAGATTTGATGAATTTAACCCTTTATTTTGCCTTTTCTATATTTTCACCTTCGGGTGAGTGGTGTGATTGCATCCTAATTAATTACCTCGAATGGTCTTAGGGCATAAAATTTAACTATCTTGTAAAAATTCTATGTAATTGTATGCCAGTATTGAAAGAAACAGTCAATCTGATAAAAAACGGCTGCGACTTGTTTTGAAAATGAAAGGTAAAAGGTTACCAGCGAAGATATTCCGTTTGGCATCAGTTGTACCATTACTGGCGAATTTATCGTTTGCGCCGGCAAAACGGAAAAGTACCAACAAGGGTAATACAAACCTTTTTTGGCCATCCCAGAGCAATAAGTGGATATAAGGCAGATGAAAACCAAGTATCTAGCACGTCATCATCTTTAAAAAATAAATCAATCAAAAGCTTTACTTTAACATGTCTACACTTTAAAATTTACAATCATTTAGAAAACATAGTTTAAATTATTATAATGAAATAATTATAAAAATTAAGCATAGTATTTGAAAAAATATTTTTAAAAAAGAAAATCTGAAATGTTTCAGATTTTAATTTAGTCTAAAGGGGCTTTTTTTAATATTTTGTGTGTTACATTTATTTATTAAATATCACGTTCTTCACACTTAAACCATACAATTCAGTTCAACAGCAATATCCTAAAATAGTTTTCAAATGAGCATATCTTTAGAACTTCGGATACAGAGACTCAGGCGCTAGAGATAAAAATGTTTTTCTGTACAACGTTGCCATTGCTTGCTTTGAAATCCTTGAGTTATCCTTCTTACGTTAATCAAAAATTCGTTAAAGTTTTGCAAAATAGGAAATCGATAATAAAACAAATTCCAAATTTCAAATTTGATCTTCCACATGCTCATATTCGTAGGCGGATTACATCATTCAAAATTCGATGGCTCTATGTACCGTTGTTTTATCACAATGCGAGAAATATACATACATTTATGCAGATTTTTCATTATTTAATTTCTTTAAATATAACGCAGGATAATCCTTTATGGCAACAGTTTGAAAAGTGATTCGCCGTTTGTAGTGAATCAATGTAAAATCGTGTTTGTGAAATTCAGTGCTTTTGATACGGAAAAATTTTTCTTTTGGCGATAAGTTTATGTGTGTGTCTGTGATTATGGCAAAGCCTCGGGGGCTATCTGCCTAAGGGGAGGGATGCCTTCGTGGAGAACTTTCTAAGGGAAACTGGCTCATATACACGTTACACATGGGGAAAACCACGAAAACGCCCATGCAGCCAGCCCGTTTGCGGGATTCGAACCTCGGACCGAACTACCAGTGTTCAGCGACTTTACCGCTCGGCCGCTGGTGGGCCTGGCGATAAGTTTATCTGTATATATTTTCTGCTGGTAATTCAATTAATTTGACTGTATTCTGTTTCCAGAAGAATTGTTTGGGATTATCCCTGGTGAACTTAAGCGTAAACCAGATAATGACATGGACAGTGGCAGCAATAAAGAGAGGAAAACAAATGGGAACTTTTATAGCGTGGACACAATCGCTATTGAAAATGTCAAAATAGCTTTTAAAAATGGCACAAAAGAGGTAAAAATTGTTCTGAAAGGAATTGAATCTGGTATCCTGGTTGGTAAGTTGTTCAAAAAAGGTTCTATTCTAAACGAAATTACTGATAAAGAAGATAATATTTATACCACAAGAGAGAAAAAGGTGCTACTTTGGTAGACGGTTGCACGGATTTTGGCGATTTTTTGGCAATTTTTCTTTTGGCGAGTAATACAACTTATGGTAAACCCATTGCTGGATAAGTTATTTATGGTAACCGATACTTTGTTGACATTTTATTTAAAAAATAATGCGTGTTATTATGCATAAATTCCGTGTTTTAAATATTATTTATGGCTTCTAAATATTAAAAATCAATTTAATTTTGCATTTTTATTTAAAATAAAAATTTTATTCTTTATCATATTTTATGAAATTTTATGCTGTGGATGATATAATCAGTGACATCACCTTACTTTAAAAGTAATTGGTTTTAATATCTATAAATTTAATCTAATGTTTTAAACATTATTTATGGCTGTTAAATATTAAAATACAATTTAATTTTGCATTTCTTTTTTAAAATGATTTTATTATGTATGATTATTTAAATAATTTTAATTCTAGACTTGATGTAATCAGCTCTCTGATTGGTTATAGAATATTTGTGCATTAATGAGCTGTAATCAGCTCCCTGATAGGTTGCTGAAAATTTGTGCATTACCGCGCCATTTTAAAATTTAATTCATATCTTCGAATCCCTTCAAAAATGTCTCCTTCAAAGATGAATGTTGTTTTTGATAAGTACCAAGAATTTTTGGTTTCAGAATCAAAAAATTGTCCTTTGAGACCTTATTTTCGCAAGCCTGGCTTTCCTAATCAAAGATTTATTTATAAATTCTTACAAGGGTCAGAGGAAATTTATTTTAAATTTTTGAAGGAAACGTCGCTAATTGTTTCTTCTATGAAGTGCGAAAATGTAGATCACAGATGAAGACCGTTAGAAGAGCCGATTCTGAGACGGCCGTATATGATATTGTGGTCATGTTGGAAGAAATAACCGCTATAACAGTAAGAAAATTATTAGACATTCCTCCTTTTTTACCGACAATAAACTAATTGCTGTCATTTTAGCTCTAGTGTACGAAGCATTCTTATTTACTTATTTTAAAGTATTTAATTTAAGTAATATTTTAATTCTTTTAAACGTTGGTATGATGGTTTTTAATTCGATATTCAATTTACGTAATATTTTAATCCAATTAAACATTGGCGCAATGTTTTTATAGTGGTATTTTTGTTCTATTTCTATGCTATATGAAAGTAATAATTTAACCTTTCTTTAGTATTTTATACTCGTAGTAAATGTATTTATTCTATAACGTATTTTAAAGTATTTAAATTTAATAATATTCTAATTCTTTTAAATGTTGGATGATGTTTTTTATTTCGATATTCAATTTCAGTAATATTTTAATCTAATTAAACGTTGGCACAATGTTTTTATAGCTGTGTTTTTTTTTTTTTTTTTCCCTATATGAAAGTAATAATAGCCTTACTTTAGTATTTTGTACTCATAGTAAATGTCTTTATTTACACTTGCCTGCCATCTTAAAAAACGACATTTTCAACAAAAAAATTAATCCATTACTTTTAACGATATTTTTTTTTTTTTTTTTAAGTTTCGAATACTTTACTATGCGAAAAAACATCGTTTTTCAAGATGGCTGACGATTGTAAAAATCGTGCCAACAATTGCGCCAACGTAAATCGCCAAAAATCCGTGCAACCGTCAACCAAAGTAGCACTGAGAAAAAAATCATCATTTCCATGAAAAGAATCAAAACTATGGAAAAAGTCTGTAAATTAAAATCCTTCGAAGGTGTCAGAGTAAAGGCCTCAATAATTGAAGATACGTACACGACTAAACATGTAGTTAAAAATGTTGATACTCAACTTAGTTTAGAAGACATAGCAGCTAGCCTAGAAGAAAGTGAAATTAAATTTTCATGCATTACAAGATTCACTAAGCCAAGGTCGGACGAAAAGGTGCCAATAATTCTGATTAAGGAACTTGGCTCCTGTAATCGGTCTGATGTCAAAATAGGTCGAATAAATTTTGCGGTAAACAAATATATTGAAAATACCATAATATGCTACAAGTGCTGTAATATAGGCCACAAGTCGAAACTCTGCAAAAGCAAAGCGAGATGTGCGAACTGTGGTAAAAATGACTGCAACGACCCATGTAAAAATAATACCAGTTGCTTTAGATGTGGAGGTGAGCATAATGCTTTAGACAAATCTTGCCCAAAAATAAATATAAAAAAGGGAAGTGAACGGATCAGAAGCGTGAATCTTCATCGAAGAAACCTCTCCAGACTTCCAGTTATTCTTCCTGGGCAGAAGCTTTCCAGAAAGAGGAAGAACTAAACTCTACTAACACAAATATATATACTAAAGGCTCGGTATCGGAGAAGCCAGGGGAAAATGTTTTAAGTAAGATAGTCGCAAGATTAGAAAATCTCGAACGGAAAATTGATTCTCTTTATGTAGATAATTTAAATCTTAAGGAAGTCAATAACAAACTTAAAACTGAAAATACACAACTTAGAAGCCTGTATGAAAACTCCCTAAAACAGATCCAAAAATACAAGGAAGATCTTGAAAAGACCTGCCTTGCATATGAAAATCTTCAAACAGAACATCTAAATTTGAATACTATTCATCAGGCTAGTCCTCTGATATCTTGAAATAATGGGCCAGACACGCTTCAAGAAGAGGAAATTCCTCGAATTGATGATGATACTTTCTAATTTCATGTGTTTTATCATTAGTTGGAATTGTCGAGGTTTCGAGGCGAACTTAAGTTTCTTGTCTTCTTTTGTTTCTTGGTTAAAACCTTCTGTTGTGTGTCTCCAGGAGACCTGGAGTAGGAACCCTAGGGTTCCTTTCCTTTCTGGCTACAATAGTTTTTTAAAGGAAAGAATTTTTCCCAGTAAAGGCGGTGGCCTTGCCATTTTTGTGTTAAAAAATCTACCTGTTTCCAAACTTCCAGATACTGGAATTAAATCTGACATGGAAGTTCTAAGTATCAAAGTGCATGCTTACGGTAAAACATTTACCATTGTAAATTGCTATAGGCCTTCCGGAAGATTTAAACTAGAAGACTCAATGATATTGGATTCCTTTAAGGATCCTTTCACGATCTTGGTTGGCGACTTTAACGCCCGCCATAGAAATTTTGGAGATAGTATTACATCGCCCAGCGGTCAAAAGCTCATGAATTGGCTAATTGACTCTAATATGATCATTCTAAATAATAAGAAATCTACTCATATTTGTGGCCAAGAAGGAGGAATCCTCGACCTTTGTATGGCAAATGTCAATATCGCGTCCAAGCTGTCGTTCCAGAGACTTGATGATACGGGTCAAAGTGATCATTTCCCTGTGTATCTTAATTTTAATCATAGTTTTAAGAAGAGACCTGGAAAAATTAAAAGCTATACAAATTGGCGAGATGTCAGTCTATCACTGTCACGCTTGCCTGTGAGCCACGCTGGTAATATGGAAGATAAAGTTAATGCTTATACCTCTGTAATTAACAGCGCTATCAAGATACACTCCAGAGAAATCACCTACAAGGTCGAGCCAAAAAACCCATGGTTCAGTTTGGAGTGCGCCAAATTCAAACATCTTAGAGATAAGTTGAAAAGGAGGGCACTAAGATCACTTAATCCAAGCGACTGGGTGGAGTATAAGGGTGCAAACGCTAAATACAAAAGAGAGCTAATAAAAGCAAAACGTAAGTACTGGGCAAAGATTTCCTATGAATCCAATTCTTGCAAGCAAG